AAGATAATTGTTGTTTTGTTTATGTTCTTCTAGCCGTTTTTCATGTATTGCGTAGCAAATTAAGAGACATTTAGTTTATTTACTGTTATTGTCTTTTATTCTTATAATATTTTAACTTAAAAAATAATGACAAAAGTTTCTGTTTTTTGTATTGTAAGTATGTTTTTTCTTCTTAGTAAGTATTCTTTTGAAATATTTAAGATAATTTATATAACATTGTACGATTAGTTGTTTTGTAAATAAACAAACAAATAAATATTATTTAAAAACAACTAATTTCTGTTTCGCAAGAAATCTTTCCATAAATTTTAATTGTTTAGAGTAGTATTGTAAATATGTTAAAAAAAATTAAATTTGTAATTATTTTTTAAACTGAAGTATTATAACAATAAGAAATAACAATTGCAACTGATAAACTATAAAAATATGCTGCTAAATAAATATACAATATTATTTATTTAACAGTATTTTTATACATACTTTACGTATATAAAACATTTGCCTTTAATTTAATATATAAGAACAAATGTTCATTTTTCCATCAAAGTTTTAAATAAAGTTAAAAAAAAATTTAGTTTTTTTAAAAAGAAATTAAAATATTTTTCTTTGGATAAAACAACGAATATACTGAAAATCGTAGTAATTTTGTTTTGATTTTGTTAAAAGTTTATTTTTAGTTTTATTTTACAAATACATCTTTTGCATACATCTAGTAACAATCACAGAATAAAAATCGATCGATGTAAAAATTAATGGAACATTATTATATAGGTGTATGTCAGTATTATTAGTACTATATATACCTTAGGTCGATATTGTCGATATTGAATGGAAATATCGACTATGAATATATTCATTAATGTAAAAACTATTAATATTTACCCTGAATAAAGGCATTATCCAATATTATATCGAATATATCGAATTTTCAATCAAAATGAAAAAATCTCATTTAATGTACTCCAAGCAATGCTTATGCATTCAGGATAAATGTAAATATGAATATATTCATAGTGAATGTTTCTATTCGATAGCGACAATCCTAATATACACATATACATTATATCGATGATACGCTATAATTATATTGCGTATTATTTTCATGAGTATAAAAACATAACATATCAAGAAAATTTATGAAAAATTATTTATTTGTAACTGAAAAACGATATTTAAAATAATTTATAAAATAATGAAATTAACGAGTCCATATAAGCTCAAAATTGCCGAAATTATTCGGAATAATTCCAAAAATTAGAAAATCCGACCCGCCGGCGATGATATATACAAGCGGCCGCATTCGCCTGCTATTTATTACGCAGCATGATTAATCTCTTTACCCCTGCGGCTAACCGGGTTATTATTTACAGGCCACTTTCCGGAATTACAATTTTTTATGGCGCATATGTCACGACTAATGTCTCCCTTTGCTCGCGAAGTGCTACGTGCCGTTTTATCTCACGAAATTAAAACCGTTTCCCAGATTACGGAATTATCGAAAGACTACACGGCGCGTTCAAATAGATGGCTTTAATGCATTTTGAATGACAGTCTCCGTTTTATTACGAATACAATTTCTCGGAAATTCCGACGGGTACAAAATCATGCAAATTGAGTTCATGCAAATAGATCGCCAATTGGATAAAGCTGATATAGTATTGTATTAAATAATAATTACCGTTCAATAGAAGATTATAAGATTAACGTTCCGTAAGATTAATATCTCATAGAAGAAAAGTAATTCGAAAGGATTAAGCACATTGGATATATTAGTTAAAAAGTTAGATATTACGAGAATGTAATATTTTATCTTTTAAAACAATATTTACTTTTTAAAATTTCAAGTTTCTAAATGTACAAATTTTTAAACATTTTAATAAAAATTATTAATATATAAATTAGAGGAATAATATAGTATAACAACAACATTGTAATATAATTCATTAAATTCATTTTAATTAATTATAGAGAATGACTAATTAAACAGTTTTTGTTTTAATGAAAAGAGCAAATGTAATATAATCCTTAATTAATTAAGGAAATTTTATGTGGGGATTCTCATAAAATAAATCGGAATAAGCTACATTATTTGCTTTATAATTTTAATATGCATATTTCTTTATTATTATATTCCTCGATTGACAACGTTACATACAAACCTGTGTTAATTTTAAAACTGAAATAAATGTTAAATATTAATATTAAGGACTCATGTGAATTGTAGGCAAAAACGTGATTCTATAATATATTATTAGATGCATAATTTTTTAGAGAATGTCATGTTCTACTACGAGTAACTGAAATATTAGGTACTGAAAGAGGGACAGAATTTGCAGTGAGTAAGTCGTGACAGCAAAACGATTTAGCGAAGCGGCAACTCCTGCACGAAGATCGCAGTTGCCGAAGTTTAGCCGATTGCTACCTAAAAGGGGTGTTTGACCAAAAGTACGAGACTTTTTCTGAGAAAGTTCACGATTGACGTGATGTTGAAAGCCCTGCTCGACGATCCGGCAGACGAGTTTTCCAGAAAGAATCCGTCGTTCTCGACGGCCGATCTGAAACTTGGAAACTGCCGGAAATTCTCAAAACGTACCGACGTTCAAAATAGAATGAAGACTTTCCGCATGAGTATTTTACGGCATTGACGAAACGATAACGAATTCAAGATGATGCAAGTGAACGATCGAGATAGAAGCGTGTTTACGAAAACATTTTGGAAATTTTAATATTTTAACAATCAAATGTACGATTTTAGAATTAGACTTTTAACACACACAAATATATGAAATTATCTTTTTAACAAAGAAAACTGTCAATATTTTATTATATCGTATTGCGCGATATATTTGAATTTACTCATCATCATGTTCGTTTACTTTTCGGCGATTTACATTTTCTGTTTATATTATTTCATTTCTTATTCTTACTAGCAAAAGTCCCTTCGTTTGATATGAATTATCTTATAACAATTTATTTCTTAAATAATCTGTATTAATATATTAGTACATTTTATTTATATAGAGCAGAAAAGAGAAAATTTTATTTATAAGCTTTTATTTATAAATTTTATTTATTATAAATTTTATTTATAATAAAAAAATCAAAAATTTTGTTTATGTGTCTATATATTTTATTACATATTTTGTGTGTTGTGAGTGATATACTATTTTTAATTTCGAAGAAGGTAAAAAGTTAATCTACAATTTTCAGTCGCTAAAAAATTAAAACTTCTCGTACACATAAAATATCTATAAACTTGTGAAAATTAATAGGCGAGAACTAATTTCATAGAAAATCTGTTACATTGTAAGCTTTAAAAAAAAGCTTTAAATCAATTATTCGCAAAACGTCTGCCTAGCTGCCCCCCCCCCCACCTCCACCAACCTTTCGGAACACATTAAATTACACACTTCTGCTGTTATGCTATTTATGCGCTTTTAAAACTCACAAAAAAAATTTTTACGCTCGTTTCGTTTAGCTAAAAAAAAATTTTTTGGGGTGGGCTTATCCAGTCCCCCCCCCCCCCTCCCTCCTCATGTGTTAATAATAACCGATTTAGAAAATCAAATATACAGGATTATGCGCTGTTTATGCGCTATCGTATTTACATAATTTCAATTTTTGCATCCTTTAAGGCCCTTCCCTCTTGGAGCAAACAGTCATATTCATCCCTAAATCGTTTAAAATTGCAAAACTATGCTATCTAACTATGCAAAATATATCTTTGATTTATGTGTTATTATTTCCAAGCAATTTCGATTCTTGTGTTACAATCCTTAAGGGACTTCCCTCTTGGAGCAAACAGTCACATTACAAGAAAACTATATATAGTCAATATTGCTCAAATTGTGAAATTACTTGTGTACAGTATTTATCTAAATTTAAAAAAAATATCTAATATAAAAAAATTAAGACTTGAAGTTGGATTTTGACTAAAGGGTGAACCTCCTTAAGAAGTTATAAAAAATAATTGTTTTTTAATCTAAATCTAAAATTTTTTCAACATTTTTAATTAATATAGGTATGCTTAACTTACGACTAAATAGAAATTAAATAAATTATTAAAAGCAATATTTAAAATCTACAACGAGTAACTATTCTGAAAATAATTTTAACTTAAAAGCGTGTGTTTACAACAATAATTTGATTAAATTTAAATTACTTTAACTTTGCACGCTGTTTTACGTTATTTAAGGATTAAATATGGTACACTTTTTTTTCTATAATATATAATACAATATGTGTGTCTAAATTAAAACTAAAATCTTAACTTTCGTACGTTTTACTTTATTCTTAATTCTTTAATTAGCAGTAATAATTATCTGGTAGTTGGACCTGTAATTAACAAAAGATTCGTTGCGAATTAATTACATACAGAATACGCTTCTATTATCTGCTATTACTCTTTACATTTTATTTTAACGCCTTTCGATTCTCATTGAGCTTGGAAATTAATTTCGCGATTAAATTTTTACTATGATTTTTAAGGACATTACAATATTTTACAGAAAAAACTTAGAAAGAAATAAGAAAATAATGAAATCTATAACTGCGTTAAAATATTTTCTTAATTAGCAGAAATTATGAATCTTATTTTTCTTTAAGAGAATAACTTTAATTTTAAAAATTTATTGAAAGATTTTTTATGAAATATCAATGAATAAAATACATTACTTGCAATACTAACAAAATTAGATATCCTTATTAGAATTCTATTTCAATTTTATTAAAAGTTTTTTCGATATCATCGTTATGAGACAAAAGTTAATATAAATCAATAAAATTTATAATATTTATTATAATATTTATCACAGTTTAATTTCTTTTTACAAATTTTACCTGAGACTCATTTATACTTACTCGTATGTTTCTTTTCTTGTTATATACTTTTAATATTTGTTCTGTCCGCACGAATTTCATTTTTTCTTAAATGCGATGATGTTTACTATGTTGCTTCTTGTTCGTTGTTAAACTAAACATTCCATGAATTTATATTCTAGTATGGCGGTGAACCAGGCAGAAGGTTGGCGTCTCAAGAGAAGCCGCTGGAGATTCAGGATCAATTTCTTCAAAGACTTGGTTATCAGGATATATCCCGACGCGCTCGTCTAGGAGTTGATCCAGAACTCAGACATCTCATCGGCTTTCACGTAGGTTAGTATAAATTATAATAATATATTTTTTATTTTGCGGATCATTATAGAAATCTCTTGCGTATTTATATATGTATATATATATATATATTTTTTTTTTAATTTTAAATAATTTATTTCAAACAATTTTTCAAATTTATAAAATGTTATTGAAACACTGATATTCATTATTTTACTATTTATTCCATCGTCTTTATATATTATTCAACTTGGTTAGATAGAGAGATAAGAGATAATTTTGAATTTGTTTATAAACTATATTGCGTCTAATTGTAAAAAAATAAGTGGTAAGCAATTAACTTTTCATTTGTTTATTAACTTATATTAATGAATAGCTATACTAATTATAATAGCTCAATTAATTATAAAAACACTTTGTTATAATGTAAAGATATTCTTGAGAAACACAAAATGCGTTAAAGTAGATAAATAATCAATATATGTAAGCTTCGAGAAAAAGCTAGACAAAATAGTTAAACATAATAAATATAAACTGTGCATTCCCTAATCTCAGCATATATGTTTCGTTAAAAAGAATTGAACATATTGAAATCTCTCTTCATCTCGAAATTTTAGAGAGAGAGAAAGCGAGAGAGAGAGAAATATGAGAGCAATGGAGACGGATGCTTGCACTTCCTTTCAAATTTTGACAAAGAGAAATACTTAAATTATAAAAATCATTTTTATGACAATGAAAAATTAACCTGTCAATGCTCAATTTGTGATTTACACGTTAAGAAAGCTTGTTGAAGATTTTCAAATACTGACTTTAATGTAAGTATTTTAACAAGTTTTGTGTGAAGATAAACTTTTGCTCTCTCCCTGACTGAAGTCTTGGATACTTTTGAGTGAGAGTAATATGATTTAAGCTACCTCTTTTTAAACTGATAGCGACAACTTTATAGGAATGCGCAATCTATTTTTATTATGTCTATGTTAAAGACATACAGAATTGTTGTCTGTTGTTTCCGGTGCGCGGAAGTAACTAACATAATAAAACAGTTTATTTGAAACACGAAAACTAACAAATGTTTCAAAGAACTTATATTGACCCGATTCTCCCTGTGATCCGATTCATTTTGGTTTACTCTACGTTTGTATAGATATATAATGCATCCATGTGTATATACACACTTAACGCACTTTTATTATTTCACGTAAATTCCAATCCCGATAATTACAAAGCACGTCGGATTTCGTTACATCTCGACTACATTCTCGACGTGCACCATCTTCTGTAAGCTAATTGCGTTAGTTGAGCACTTCGTCATCTCACCCGTCTCCTCGTCACCCAGCACTCGCGAACAACTTTTGCGAGAATCGCACCCATCTAATTCCCGTCGTCTTAACCTTCATTCGCCAAGTCATGATGATTAATTAACGAGACGCACGGTTTGGCTAATTATAAGTGGTGTGCCTATTGATTATGCAGACGCGAGTAGTTTAGCAAGATGAAGAATCGAGCGTATCTGATGACTCGTGTTCTGGATAATTTTAGAATATTTTCGTATAGATTCCATGAAATGAACTTTGGCTAAACTTTGGTTAAATTAGGATAATTTTTTAGTCTAAATTTTTTAAAATATCTAGACAGCACGTATGTCCAAAATCAGTATTAAAATGTCTTTAAGATCTCTTGATTTTGACGTACCATATGAATATTATCAAATTCAAACACGTTTTATACTGTAAGTGTTATAAAAAAATATAATATAAAGAGTTGCTTCTCTGGATAAAAATAAAGAATATAATACGTCTCTTTGATTTCCTTCCAAGGAAAAGAAGGAGAAATGAGCTCGAATGGATAGCCACGCTCTGCTAACTCTTGCTATATGATAATCGCGCTCTCCTTACAGCATCGTATTACAGTTATTACGAAAGCAAAACTTTCAATCATATTCTACTTTTTCTTTTCCTTTTTTTTTTTTGTTTGCGGGTCACCCATGACCTAGCGCGAACTTTGAAGTTCGACATTGGACGAACTAGGAAACGTTCGTTCCACTTAAGCAAAGCATCCCGTGTACGACAGTTGGCCATTGTGTCGACACGAGAGCTGTAAGTAGGTACTTTCGCGAGCGATCTTGCTATACAGACACACGAAACGATGGGCGAGTTCGCGCGCGTGCTCTGCTAATTATAACGTTATTGCTGCTATTAATGAGCAATTTCAGGGCGCTTCTGTGCGTCGCTCGGTCGCCGGCGATATAAACTCGAAGCGCATTACGTAACTTACGTGGCGCAATTTAGCCGAGTTAATTAAGTTAAAGTGTGTTGCGCGCGGGCAAGTCGCGTGCATCGTCGTCGTCGTCATCATCATCGCAAGACTGTGAAGGTATTTATTTCCTCGCCTTTTCGCGATTATTTTTATCTTCTTTCGTCTTTTTTTTTTTTACCGGTGCTTTCGCAAAACTCCCCAACGGACGATTGCTTTTAACGTTCGTAATTACGGTTTTAATGGCGAAATGTATAAGGCAATTCTGCGATTTGCTCTTACAGCGTTACGGTATGCGTGTTCACCTTAGAAATATAATCCAAGAGAGGTCGGAACAACTTTCATGCTACTCCGTTAAGAGCTACTTGTCCGTCTTCTTAGCTGCTTTTCACGAACGAACTCTCGAAAATTACTCCTCGCACTTCTACGGCTTCTGTTTACTGTCGTGTAAACTCGAGATAGTTTTTGTGAATACCGGTAAACGGTAGTGTTCACATTTCGCCGCTGGACCCAACGATATTGGACACCACCGGTGATTGATATTCCGGCCTGAGAGACGTCCGTACGCTGTTTTTCGTCGGACTGATACACCGGGAAAACTGGCAATCGTAAACACTTTCCGCGCTTCACGTTCGGGTGTCCAAACGACGTGTCAGTGTGTGTTTTTCCGTATTTTTATTTTACATATGCTTGTTATTTATTTGATTCAGATATGCAAAATTCATCAAATAAAACCGAATTCGCAAAGATACAAAGGATACAGAGAACAAGACCCGTATTTAAAGCTGCAAGCACACGAGATTTCAAAGCCCATCAATTCAAATTTTTAACGATTAAAGTATTTTCAAAATCAAAATTTATATATCCGAACATCATAGATGTACTCAGGGAAAAATTTAGAGTTTAAACGTTTCCGAAATTTTTATTCTTTTCTTTTTAATTACAATATAAAAAATTTAACTTTTGACTCTAAATAAATTTTTGTTGTCACAAAATCTTTTTTTTTTTTTTTTATTATACGTAAATAATTTATGGAACTTCTATTAAAACTTTGTCAGAGTGTCTAATACATACGGAAAATTTTTGAGAAAAAAAAATGCGTTGAAATATTAATGAATTCGACTAAATGAAAGCGATATCGTCGGCCAAAATTGCTGCTTATATTATATATAATAACAGAATTGATAATACCTTTAAAAAAATCTCATACCGTATAACCATGTAGATATAATAAATCATATTATTTATCTATATATTCATACGCTGTTTTTGTTTATCCGATTTTACGAAGCATAGATATTCCCAGAATTTTTCATAGAATTTTTTCTTTTATTTCCCATAGCTGCAAATCATACACTCGAATATCCGAGATTTCGCTGACATTTATTTTTCATATACTCGCAGTTGTGCTTTATAAATTGAGAGACACGAAAAATTTAAATGTAGAAACTTGGAAAAATGGGCATGTACATCTAAATGCAAAAAGATTGATGATCGAAAACGATATTTACTGTTAATAATTCAGAAACGTAAAGGTATCCAACATCAGCCGAGCGTATTACATCTCTCATACTTGTCTATCTAGCTTAATATAACCTTCTGGCTTATAAATTTCTTTCTTAGCACATAAATTCTTCCATTTTATGCCGTGACTGTAAATCCGACGGTATCGCACGTTTACGTGCCGTTTGATGTTTCGTGGCGCAGAATTGGAGCGGGATTACGGTGAGGTCGCGCATGTTGATGCAGGCAGGGTTGAGCGTTAAAACAGCAAATTTATCTAACAGGCGGCATACCGCTGTACCGACGCCGCCGGCGCCAGCATATTTAACCATAATAACCACTAACGACTGAGAGTTTCCTGGCCGGAAGTACCGGAAACGCGCGCTCGCGCCACCGTCGTCACCCTGACAGGCGACCGTCTGCCTAGCTAAGCCGAAACGTTAAACGCCGATTATCGTGTTCCCATGCTCTTGCCTGTAATTTCCCAAAGCAACTTTCGTCCGCGAAAACAGAACTCAGGTATTGAGCGTTAAATAGCAAATATAATCCATTTTAGCGAGAAAATAGACTTTGATTCTTTGCAGCTAAGCTTGGGATTGATTCCTCGCGATCCGAGATGATTATGATTATATCTCTAAACATAAAAGAATATTAAATATATTAAAATATTAAAATAGAATATATAAATTAATTGTATTGTATTATATAATTAATGTATTTTATTGTATTAATAATATATTTATATACATATATATATATATATATGCTTTCTTTGTGAGGTAGGTGAAAAAAAGTGCCTTTTCAAATAATACGTAATAATACATAATGCATACATACATAATCAGATTTCAATTTTAATTTTATTAAAAATTTTTCATCCAAGATGTAACTACCAAGATCCAATATCGCTTTAATTTTTTTTTTACTCACAATCGGAGTATGGTTGATCATTTCTAACTTCAGAGGATCAGTCACGCCCTTTTTTATGTAATAAAATAACAGAATCCATGATCACATAATAAATCGCTTTCCCTTTGTTGAAATTGTTGAATATTGTTCGTACCATAGCATTTTCCAGTCGCAATAAAGCTCACGCACGCTGGCTTTAATAACCGCGCACGATTTATTGGATTTTATCGCGGAGATGGTAAAGCAAAGCTCGCGAGCATTTCTCGCCGTGGGCGACGTAGTCTGATATTTACACGTCCACAAGGAAATATCAGACGCTGCCATGGTAATAATTGCTTTTTTTCTGATAATGAAGATTTTACTTCTTGCACATTTGTATTTGTCCGGTTGCCATGCATCGGTCAATTTCTAAATGTGTTTTTATAAAAACTTTAAAGCGTTATCGAAGAGTTTTGAAAAGCGTACTTTTAAAATAAATTATAATATATACCATATAATCTTTAGGAAAATTAGATACATTAATTTTATAATATTTGCATCTTTTACATATTCAATGAATGTAGGTATATACATAAATCTGAAATTAATTTTACTCTCGTGAGAATTTATGTAAAAACATTGTTTTCAAATACGTTAATACCAAAATACTATTTGTACGATCAAACGCGTCGAAAAATTGCCGTTAAAAAATGTGTGAAAACTATGAGCGTGATTCAACACCGGATACTTTTTACAAGTTAGCTGCGTGATGGTTTTACATCTCCAAAACGTTTAAAAGTCTATATTGCAATGAGTTGAAAAAATAATATTTTGATTCGCATCTCGCATATGGTCTGTAAAACTCTCTGGAAATTTGCGTTTCTGTTTGTGAACGTAACTCAATTTCACTGCGCACCGTTTGCCGCCGCATATGCAATGAAAAATTCCATATACCGCAGTATATAGAGCAGTTTTGAATAGAATCGACAAACTTTCAGAAATAATGAAAAGAGAGAAATATAAATATTTCATAACAAGAAATTTATGTTTTACAATTTTATTTAAGTATTATGTAATTATATTGACGTAATTTAACATGTTTAAATTTATTTATTTTATTTCTTTTAATGTTATCTATACAAGGTGTTAAAAAAAACCATTTATTTATATGGTACATTATTTATATGGTATACACCTAGCCTTAGTGAGTCGAAAGCTCAACATCATTTTTCAGATACAAATAATTTTATCTGTTAGTATGATAATTAACTTATTGTCTCTTCTACGTGTTGCATATGACTTGAAAAGAGAAATTGAGATAAGTAGCATTAATAGTATTTGGGAGATTTATAGGTTCAATAAAGTAATCTCTCATAATGCCCATTTAATTGTAATGACTGGTGGTTGATGTTACTTTACTGATTCCGAATGAAATTTTTCATTATAATGCGTGTATGGAAATTGAATCAGAATATTCATAACGCATTTTGTAAATACCGAGGTATAAATCTTCACGTCACATACGATACATAGAAGTGAATAAATCAGTTGTGAATAAATCATGATACTAACATACAAAATTGTTTATAAATATCTTAAAAACAATTGAGTTTTCGATCTATATTCACTAAAACTTTTTTTACACTATCGTGTAAAAAAAGCTATCTACTATGTAAATGCTATTTGTGAATCATTTTTTTTTTAATAACTTGTATAATACATTTAATATTTCATAATTTTTATATAATTTTCATTTTTACGAAAAAAAATTTTGTTTTTTAAAATGAAATATTTATTTACTGATATAACAACAGTTTCTTCAAACTAAAAAGAAATATAAATATTTATGATACAAATCATAAATTTTAATAATGAAATTTATAACGTAAATGTTAAATTCAGTAATGTAATCATTTTTTTAAGTAAATCTGCTTTTTTTCGCATATTAGAAAATTTATGTGACCACATCAAAACTTTAATCCTTTGTTTTCAGAAGGTGTCACATGTGTCGCCTCTAAAGGGTGGCACCTGAATCATTTGCACGTTGATTAAAGCCATAGTTATTTATCGTTTAATCTTTTTTTCTTTTTTTGCCAGGACCCGCATCGCCATTGCCAGATCTAATGGGATATAGTCGTTGCGGCTATATTTTGGTATTGAAGGGGTTGGTTTTTCCTCAGTGGAAGCGACGACCTTTGGCTGTCATCGGGTCCAGGCTTTTCCTTTATCCGGGTAAGTGTTTCATGGAGTATTTATGAATCCCGTCAATCCCCAAAATAAGAAAATTCAAGACAAAAAAAGCGTGTGACTCGTCCTGGCCGACAATAAATATCTGTGATGAAGAAACAACCCTTAAACGTTTGTCAGAAACATTAGGAATCATCCGATAGTATATCTGTCTCTTTTACTCGTAATTCGAAAAATCCTGAATGAATTTGTGAAATTAGCGTAGAAAATCTTGAAATTTCATCTCTTTTAAAACATCTCTTAAAAAATTTATCTGCAGTTATTCTCAGTTACTCTTAGAAACTAAGATACATTTTTAAAATTGCTGTTAGTTATTGATTTGAAAATCCAGACTTACATTCCTTTAAATGAATTATGTTATCTTAGACACGAACTGAGGAACAAAATAAAAAAATTAACTTAAAGTCGGAAAATTTTTAAATGTATTATCGAAAAGATTATTTTTCTTGCAAGTCGCTTAAGATGATACTTAACTACAAATTGATTTAAATTAACATGTGTTAATGTATTGAGTTATTTCATAAAATTGTTAAATTACGCTCATATAAACGATTGCAAATTCAGCGGCAATTTTTTTGAAAAGACAAAGCTATCAAGAAAGAAAATATTACGAAATCAGCTCCATATCTTCCTCTCGCCCTTCTTGCTTCTTTTCCTGACATCCAAAACATCATGATTTATCTACGTCCATCCCTTATCCTTCTGTTAGAACGATCCTGTCACCGAACAGGATGCGTGCCGTGGATCAAGAATTTCTTCGGCCGAAAGGATTTATCGTCCTGACGTGCAATTACGTTGCCGAACATTCAGATACGCGCGTTGCTATCGCGCGAAAGAAAAATGGCATTGCTTGCGGAACAAGAACTGTATTTACAACATGGATAAGTAATATAGCGAATTGAAATAAATGGAGTATTGATAGAATTTTTATGAATAGAATGGGCTCTATTCTTTCCTGTCTAATAAACCCATTTAACGAACTCGTTTAACGAACCCGATTTAATTGGCTGAGAAATACGCATTTCGATATCGAGTTACCATCTCGAAAAAGCTTGTACACTTTTGTGTAAGATAGAAACTGAATTGTACATTTATACACAAAACATTCTATTTTTGTTTGCCTAATAAACTCGTTTAATGAACTTGATACGTTTAAAATTTGTTTAAAGATACGTTTAAAATATTACTACTCAAAATATCTTGTGTACACTTTTATATAAAATAAAAATTGAATCATATATTTTTATAAAACATACGCCATATTTGTTTGTTTAATAAATTTGTTCAACTTGTTTAATTGATCGAAAAATATATGCATTTAAATATCGAGTTATCGTTATATCTCAAAAAAGCTTATGTACACTTTTTGATTTTGTATAAGATAAACGTTGAATCATATAATATATTTATATAAATATACAAGTATATTCTATTCTTGTTTATCTGGCAAGTCTATTTAACTCGTTTAATTGGCTGAGAAAGATGTTTAAACTATATCCTGTGTACACTTTGATACAAGATAAAAATTAAATCGTATCTTGTTAGAAATTTTAGATTACATCATATTTTATAATTTGCACATATCTATTCCTACGAAGACTCGCATTTGGCAGATATTTCTGCCAAATGACAACGAATGCGATTTTGCCGAACGTGGCTGGAATTAAATCGTTTTCCTTGCGAAACATTCGGACACATTCGGCATTTTCTAAACCATAAATGTGTGCGGTACACGAAATCAACGACAAAATGATCAACAATTTCCTATTACCTTCAAAACAACAATGACGTTTCGTCTGGTAATGCACTTTTATAATTTTGGCTTCGCGATTTTTATGTATTTTGCTCGAATTAATATACGTTATTCAATCTACTGAAAAATTAAATGATCGATATTTCTGTGTTATTCATTTATACTGTCGAAAATGGTTGGAAATTATTTAACGGTAAATTGACAGCGCCGTATGAGCAACGTATATCGCTTCATTTGTGATGCCTGTTATTTTAAAATTTTTATTACGTATTGCAAAATCGAAATTTTTATTCTAAATTTTGATTTTCTTATGTCTGAAATACATTTTTTCAAAATCTTCTAATACAAGTAATAAGATTATTTTATTTGTTTGTATTTGGCATTTATTGGAACTTTTTACATTTATTTATACTGATATTGGCAATATTGTCCCACTTAGTTGTACTGTTTCCATGTGACTTATAACTTCAACTAGAAACTACTGCTCGTCGATATTAAAGCAATCGTGATTGCTTTCGTGGCGTATAAGTTTGTACATAAGACATATGAAGAAAGTTAATTAACAATATAATACGAAAGAAATTGAAGAAGAGAAAAATCTCAAATTTTCTTCTTTCACTTCATCATAAATTATCATCTTTTTTCTTCTTTTTTTGTTCGCGATATCAAATTCTTTAAAGAAATTTAAATATGAAATTTGTAATATAAAACTTTAAAATTAGCTTCCTTTGTAATTACAATTTGTGATTTCACATTCTAATGTAACTGCATGTTTTTCACGGAATTTCGAAGTTTCGAGTATCTTTTGATATCCTTTGCAAAAGAACAACGTAGCGAGAAATATATTTTAATTTTGGAAACGATGCAATGAAGTTCATCCTATCCAGCAGAAGAAACAGTTCTGAAACTAAGTATTGTAAAATATTGTAAGTTCTTTAATATAATTGATCTTACTCTTTTTTCCTCACTAAATTTAAATGTATAAATCATATTAAAAAATCTCTCACGACAGTAGCAAAGTTACTTTTTCTTCTGAACCATTAATTTCTATCTCATTTATAATCGACATTTATGAACCATATTTCAATATTTGAAGTGCAACACCCGGTAGCAGCCCTTGTACAACGCTTGGCGTATGTTAAATGGTGTTCCAAGGGTGACCTGAATATTGCCGGACGGTCGCTGGCGGCCGGTACTTCCGATAGTCGATTTTAACGAGCGTATCCCACAAGCGCTCAACGACGCGCTAAACCTGGTCGTCCCGCGGCATCACGTCAGTTAGAGAGCCGCGCTTGTAGCAGCTCCTATGGGAGCCAGGACCTTGATTAAACTCGAGATAGTGGTAACAGGTGTTCGCCATTGCAGACCAGTGCTGAATCAACAGCGAACAACTTCCCCAAGACGATCTCTCTACTACCGGACTTCCCGGTCATTACTTCTTGGTCATCGCTCGGAGATTCGTATCCGACGAACGTGACGAGAGGTAGAACATCGTCTTTTTCATGACACAATCTTGATCTCGACGACATCTGCGTACCCGGTCACATATCCGAAAGTGTTTTCCCATCATACCATTTCTCTATATATTAAGAGTAAATATAAGTTGATATCAATATATTTTCTCATCTAATAACTGCATATATGTACTCAAACTTTTGAGTCTTATAAAGTCAGATAAAAATTTTTCAGTAATAATTTATAAGATCAGAGATTCCCAAAGTATGATCAATCACAGCTCATCGATGGATCATAGTTGATATTTAATGAGTTGGGAATTTACAAAAAAATTGAAAATTAAATCACACTTCGTTGCTTTGAATAGTTGTACTTGCGTCTTTTGATGACTTTATACATGTGTAACAGTTGAATTTGCAACAATGCAGCAATGATAGAAGTCAAAACAAAATTTTGAAATAAACTACAATTACACAAGCATTTAAAAAATATATAATTTTTTTGTATGTCTGTGTAATTGTTTGATCTGGAGATGGTGCCATAGTATTTTGACGCTCTGAAACGAGTTGCTCCATTACGTCACAATTTTTATCGATGAAAAATAATTCAATTTTCCTGTATTTTTAGAACCATTTATGGGCTGGTTTTTAATATCTTTTACACTATAAATGTAATAGAGTCATGACTCTAAAAATACTAGAAAATCGAGCTATTTTCCATCAATAAAAAAAATGTGATGTGATGGAACGATTTGATCCATTTGACATCGAATCCAAAGTCGAAATACATAAGAATACCATGGTCTAATTTCCATCAATTTTGATCAAAAATTTTTTTTTGTGTTATTAAACTTCTCACGTCTAAAAATAAATTGCATCGGTGACATTATCAAAGTTATCATCAACTGAAAAAGAAAAGGTAGACACGTATATTATATATGTAGGTATCTGAGAAATAAATTTATATAAAATTGTATTCAATAAAAAATTAAAAAGTTGGAGCAGTATAGTGATATAAATAAAGTACATAGTATAAATAAATAATTAATTTATCCGATATTTTTCATATTTATTTAAGCTAAATAAGTTGCAGACGTTTGCCATTTTTAAAAGTAGGTCACGATCTATGCAAGTTTGGGAAGTCCTGAACTAGATTTACTTTTTCAGACAATCCGAAAATCTAAGGAATAGAAAACATAAATAACATAATAAAACGTTTTTAAAATTTTTCTTATATTTTTCGCGATCCGATAACGTTTAATTTATCGTAACAGCCACCGATTTCACGAGAATGCGCTGGGACTTTGTATACACCCTGTGCATCGCTGTTAGGAAATTGCCCACTGCTCGATACGTATCTTGCAAATGGAACCACAATCTAGCATGGACGCAGAATGGCGGCTATTCCAGAAACTGACCAGCCTCGCCGGCATTTGCTGATTTAAGCTGCGGCTACCGTTGGCTTCAATTAGGAATTGCTTGAAATCCTACGATTCGGAAACGAATATTCGACAATTTCTCTGACTCCTCTCAGTGCCGTTGACCTCGCGTTATGGATTTAACGATCCTCTTCCTTCTGTATCTGTGGTTTAGTAATCTAAAGAATTTAAAAATTTCAAATGCATAAATATATATATATATATTAGGTGTTGGAATTAATTCGTAGCGTTTTACAAGTGATGGGAAGTACTTTCATTAATGTATTTTTTAATGCTCATGTGAAATAAATAAATTAGCTGCGCATTTTTTTTGGAGATATTTAAATGTATTTAATTATTTGTTATTTAAACATTTTTATATTTGATAATATTAAAATTTTTAGAAATTTTTACTTTATAAAAAATTGTCGTTTCATGTAAAAATGAAATTGCTGAAATTTATCTATTTCAAGTGTTCATTCTATTCGTCCTACATAAAGTTAACAAAATACGTTAAACTTGTTAGAATCTAACTTAATGAGCTACTAGCAAGAACTTCTCGGGGTGTTTAGTTTTGGAACCAGCCCCGGAAATTAGTTGTACAGCAGCGTAACAGTCTTATTGTGAAACGATGCCAACCGCGTACGCCGTATCGCTTAACAACTGAAACAAAGTATTGCCAGCCTCAACTATTTTCCAACGCTTGGCACCGCAATTCGAGACCAATAGGAAAACACGGATCGTTCTCGCTCCGCATTTCGTGGAATAATGTAACAAGCTATTGTATTATATTTTTATATTTCCGCTGAAAATAACAAAAATTGTTTAAAAATCTATTGCGCTTTTATTAATCTTTATATTATTCAAAATAAATTATTCGGATTAATGGTGGTTGCTGGCTGCATTTGTACATGCAGAAGATATAAGAGAAGAATATGAGGATGCACGAGCTAGGGATGAGGATTACGTAGAGATAAGACTTGGTCCTTCAGTCTTGTTATGTCTTAGCTAGAAAGCACGAAGGAGGAAAGATGATGATAAAGGAGAGAAATAGGTATTATAAAGCTCTGTTGTAAAGTCATTTGTTTTAGTCATATAATATACGTTTAGTCATATATATATATATATTATACTACTACTATTATTATATATATACTACTACTACTACTATTACTACTATTACTAGTAGTAATATACTTACTAGTAATAATATAAATAATAATAGTTACGATAATAACATTAAGATAGAGAAATATTTTCATTAAGCGTAACTTGCAAGATTTATGATTCACAAATTACAAAACTCAAGAATCTTCCCAGTCAATACCAACTAAAAGTAATATATAATCTACGTTATAATTTCGCATTCAACATTTACTCGTATTCAGAATGTGATGTTAGCATTTATTTAGCATAATTTACGTTACGTATATATACTATAGAATTTCAGACATAAAAGCGCGTTCTGAATACGAGTCTATAAATATAATATAACGTATGATGTTATGTACATCGTTGAATGCAAAATTATAACATACGCAGTTGGAAAATTTGTTTTAAAATATACCTCACGTGACATAAACGATCTACTTAAATTTTTGTTTAATGTAAGATGAATATGTTACAAAGTAACTCAAATATTATGTAAATAAAATTATCACAAAACGTAATACTGACAATTTGTCAAGCAAACTATGGAAGTATTTTTCGGTCAAATTAACATTTTATATATAATATATGTTAAATTAATACATATTTTATTTATTTATCTTAAAATTTTTATCTTAAAACACATTTTTATGTTATTGATTTATTTACTCATAAATTATGTTATTTTGACATTAAGCAGTATTGAATATCAATTTAACAAAAGATTTAAATAACATAATCACAACAAATGAAATTAATACTTAAATATCTTAAAAATTCAACACAGGTTTTTAACAACTACTCGAGTAAATTATTTTCAAATACAAAATATTTTTTATTGTGATAGATGGTATTACTTTTATTTGATGTCGATTGGGTCATAACGTATTATTAATTCTATTAATTGAAACGAGAAACCTCTTTAGATTCCCAAAAAGAATTCTCCACCTGAATCTAATCCTATAATCGTACAAGCATCTGGATAGAGCGTCGCGCTCTCCGGTATTTTGTGATCTATCGCTCCGAATATTTTGTATCGGATCCCCGGAAGTGTCTGATACTGTTTTTCCCGGGAGAAGGGCAAAAATTCGATAATACCCAATGGCGTTTGTATCTGCGAGAGTGTACCGATCGGTGATGGATGTTCCCTGAAAGCCGACGCCGTGGAATGTAACTGGCCGTCATCGGAATATCAATGACCGTCCGGCATTCTCGGCGTAGCTCAACGTAATTAGACCCCACCGTTGGTCTCTCGGGGCAAGAAATGGAGTCGTCCCTCCGCCACGCGAGCCTAAAACATGTCGAGCACGTAGAAATTCAAAATTCGAAGCGTTGAAGCTTCATGTTAATACGCGCTTAACACATATCAATATGCCTAAAGTAAATGTTTATCGGAAGAATAGTGCTCGTGTCAAAAATTGTTTTTGTCAACCGATACAAACGAAAAAAAACGATGATCGCTTTGGTGTCATCCCGTACTGATCATTTTTCAGTCATAAGCAATATTTAATTGAGAACCTGTCACAAATTAGAATTACAAAATTTTCTTGTAATAATTAAAAATAAGATATTTTATTTACATTCTTCTATTATTATCCGAGAAAATACTTTACTTTATGTTTTTCCACTTGCCGGATGAGACGGATTAATTTTTATTTTAACTTGTATTTTAACTTCTCTTTACTTTATTTTTCTTTTTTCTCTTTTTCTTTTCTTAATTTTAATTTTGTTGCAGCTTCTCATTCCAGTCTCATGGTATGTAATATTTCTCGAGCTTTATAAAAAAGTTTATTTTTATATTTTATTTTTATTAATATTACTTTTGCTGCATTATTTCCGTTATTTGTATATTTTTGTTTCTTCACATTTTTTTCTTATTTTTACGGAGATCCCTTAGAAGGTTCGTTTTACAATACTATAATAAACATCTTTATGTATCTATCTATCCCTGTGACATTTTTCACGACGGCGCGATGTCGTCGTAACCGCGCTTATACATACTCCCAATTTATCAAAGAACTGATAAATAACGAGACAAACGCATTTTCCCTCAGCTTCTCCAGAATCACGAGCAGAATGGATGGAACTGAGCGGCGGAGGTGGCGCGGTATGCTATGCGCCGTCACGTCTGGGCAAACTCGTTTTGCGTGTCACTGGGTTTCCCAGGGTCACTCAACAGTGCCATGTGAGCCAACACCCTGAAGAGAGTCACCATCGCGAAACCAGGCATCTGTATCTGGGCTTCCATCATCCTTGGGATCGAGACCTCTGGAAAAACTGGATCAAAAAGGTAAACACCTCCTCGCTATTCTTTCACATGAAATCGAGAAAATTTCTCGCAACGATTCAATTTGTGACGAAATACAGAAAACACCTGGAGACATCGTCTTAGGAAAGAAATATGATTTCAAGTCAACTAGAATAATTTGAATTAAAACATGTAACGATGTAACATTTTTTTTTAATAACAAAAGCTGCAGTAGAATTATTAAAAAATATAATATTTATCTTTTATTATATCGTTAAGAAACTGAAAATTTATTATATTGTTCTTGTTCACCAAAAGATTGACATGATTCACGTAAATAATTTTTATATTAGTAAAAAATATCTTAATGAAATAAAATTTGTATAAATATTAAAATTATTCATCACATCGTATAATTAAAATCGATATAATTAATTTTTTGGTAAACAAGAATAATATAATAAATTTTCAGTTTTTTAACAATATAATAAAACATATATTATATTTTTTAATAAATCTATGGCAGCTTTTGTTATTTAAAAAATATCATCGATCTTTGTTGCTTTGCGTGCATTTACCGATTTAAGATACTTCATTGCCAAAAACATTCGGTATTACATTAATTTAGTAAATTAACTGTCTTAATATATTTGGAAAAGAAATTCCAATTGTTCAACAGCGATAAACTACTACCAATAAATAAACAGATAACAATTCACAGTGACGCGTGACGAAACAAGAATAGAGAAATCCATTTTCCAAGAGGTGTGTACAGCCTTCGTTGCAGTCGTTGTTTGCGCTACAATTTCAGTCGCCTTAAAATTTAAGCTCTCGCAGCTGAAACCGATTCCCGAGACTTCTCTTTGGGCATACATAACTCCACAAGGAAATGAACGATTCTTATGCAACGAGCTCGGACAAGACTGAATTTTGCATCTTGAAGATAAGCGAGACCGACGCTTACACGAGGACTACGCGAATTGATATTTAAAATGCATAAGGATGTGTGTGTGCTAGCAAGTATAAAATTTTATTTTTTGGAATATTTGCGTAAATTACTTCGGATCTTGGCACCTTTGTACCGTAATGTATCCTGAATCTCCCAACAACCCTTTCGAAAAGGCCTTTGGCGCGTGTAAATAGGTCATATGGAGGTGATATTCCGAATAGGTAATATTCCAAAGCATACCGACCATATCTGGAAAGGAATAGATGGAACGTCAATGCAGAAGCGACGAACAGAGTGCAACATGGAAATTATGCCATACAGGGAAGGCGCGGACGGCGCTCGATAATGTCGTTACACGGCGACGGACAGCGCAGTGAATTAGAATTGTGTATTGTTAACTCGCGGTCCGATGCAAATGAGGACAAACATAGGCGTTTTGATGGGCTTTAATAGAATCACCAGCTAACAAAAAGGACAACGGAAGGTTGTCCGATATATCGTATAGCTGGCAGTTCCGCAAATATGCATCAGTTTGCTATGAAATGTCTCTTCATCATGTGCGCTATATATACACCCGTTTAATAAACGCCGTTGCAGAAGAAAAAAGAGCAAAACATATGTGATGTTGCGAAAACGTTACATACACAATGTATCGTTTCTAATTAGAGATTTTATTTATAATTAAATGCATACAGCGAAAGGGAAAGATTGAGGGTTTTTAAAGGAAAGATGCGTCTTGTAAAAACTTGTCTCCTATTCACATCACCGGCTTATTTCCGGAGTTAATAAATAGACGCTTAATTTTCAATAACTGTGCAGTCGATTTTTTAAAGAGCTGGATGGTATAGTTAAAGCACCAGTGAAATCAAAGAACAACGATCCCCCTTCTTCATCTCGCGAATCCGGCGATATCGCGACTGAAAAGATGAGTGACAACGAGAGTAAGAGAGGTTAGTTGTAGGACGGTCCAGGGTTGAAAGAAGAGGAGGGTAGCAGGAGGAATCCAAAATGATGCAAACATTGGCCTAGAGGCACACCCTGAATATGAAATCACGATGAACAAACTTTAATATCCGAATGCACGACGAAGAAGAGGGGTAAAAAGGTTGGAAAGAGAAGATAAAAGACGAAAGCACACATGGCTGTTTCTATAACGTTATGACCGAAACGATTACCAACATCCGCGATCCAGACCAATCTCCCGATATTTTCGATAGCGTAGTCATAATGACGCAGTCAAAAATATTTTTTTCCGTGACTTACTCATAACATCCAGTGACAGATTTTAAAGCGCCCCCCCCCCTCCCCTTCCCCCGATATTTCAAACGAAACAACATTTAAATCTCCCAATGATTCGACTCTTTTTCCAGAATATTAAAACATAGTAGCGCAGCAGCTAGACCAAACAATTCGGCGCGGATTTTATTTCCGCATCAGTATGTATGTTATTTACAAATATTTGTTATGATCGATATGATAACTATACACATATTGGAAAACAGATATTTACAAAATCGTAGCGCAATTCAAAAGGGTTCTGAGCGATCACGAGAAAGCCACCGTTGAGAATAGTTTCACTTCACATCTATTTCTCTTCCATTTACGCCAATGGACTCTTTTCAATTCGAGTAAATGGCAACTTGCGAGAAATTTAACGCATACGCAGAGACGCACGATAATTCGACAAACACGAGCGAGTTTGGTAGCATTTTCAATACGCCAAGTGAACGTGATGCAGCTCAAAACGCGAGATCATGAATCGGATAAACACGTCACTAAATATTCAGCGATCAGTTGTACAAATACGAGATGCGACTCTTTCTACCTCTTTCTCTCGTTCCCTTGTCTCTCTCTCTCTCTCTCTCTCTCTCTCTCTCTCTCTCTCTCACACTCTCTCTTCCGTTTGCCTTGCATTATTCAACGCGAGTATTTTGCCGCTTTTCTCTATGGCGTAAATGCATCGCCACCACGAACCTGCTGTTATTACATCGACTTGATGCACGGCGATCGCGTTTAATCCGTCCGTTGAATTTTCCGCTAATGTATTGTCGTGCAGTGAATGATGGGCAAAATTTTCGATATGTCAATCCAAATTTTCGACCTTTGAAAATCTTTTCCCCGCACTGTCATTTTATTTTATGCCATCGATTTTGCATACAAAAAGGTTCATACTGCATGCCAAAAAAATTAATGTCTAAAATCAAAAATCTTTACCGAAATTCTCTATAAATTTATTACCATTCTTATTTTTTTGAATTATAAATTTCTCTACGTATACGTATGTATAATATATATAGCTGTTTACTTTATATACAATATAAGAATTTATTTAAAAAGCTTTAATTTGATTATTATACAAGTTTATTTAATCAAACAAGGTTTGTTAGTATGTATCCACAAATTTACCATGTATCTAATTAATAGTTTTAAAACATTTATTTATTATACGTACATTTTTTACAGAAATAAAAGCTATAATTATAGATTTAGCATTTAATTTATGATTTGTCATCTGTTCTTTATTTAGCATTACTGGCGGAATTTACTTGCGTCAAACTGAGTTATTTTCAAGTACGTACCAGATAATGAAACAATTTTCTTGAATACGGCATGCCGATGACACGATCGAGTGGGCTGTGACATTTTGTAGTGGGACGTCATTATTTACTTAATAGGAATGAAATGTTTTAAACGATTGACTCTCTATGACAAGTCAGTTTGATACATCATCTATTCGTATTTATTGTCTTGACAGTTTTGATACTCTCTATCCATTAAATCAGACAGTTTATCAATACCGCTTTAATACTCAATTAATTAATTTTCCGATAATTGGCTTTTTTGAGGATATTTAAATTTATACTTATAAAAGATGGAAAAAATTAACAAAGTTGACCGAGATTCAAATTAACGTGCTATCTCACGACTGTTCTATTACTCTCGTTTTTTTATTATTCCGATCTTCTGTCAATATCTGATCAATCTTATATCTCTATATTATAATTGGATATTTATAAGAGTACTTACATTAGTTCATATACGTTCATATACGTTGCAGTGTTTTAAAATGCTTATTAGCACCATTATTAAATTGCGATCAATATTTTTATTTCTGTTTATATTTTTATTTCTTTTATTTCTGTTTATGATTGCAATTCAAATCCGACAGCAGTCGGCTCGCAGTTTATATAACCGGAAAATAATTTAATATTTATAATTTAAAATTTATATGGAATTATTAATAGGCACCAAGGATCCAGTCTCAACTGTATTTAGTGCATCTCACTTATTTTTGTTATTCATATAAGTTCTTTTTACGTTTTATGTATTAGATATTCACTAAATAAGTAATTATTGAATCTCTGCTTATTTCTCATTATACAAAATGTTATAATTGTATCTGTTAATCTTCTTTAAAAAAAGAAATATGTAATCTTCAAATATTTAATAGAAAATTTATTATTATTATTGATACTATTATTAATGTTAACATTAATAACGTTTCTTTATTATTTATTTGTAAGTTATTGTTTTTTTTTTGCGTAAAACTAATTGTACACTGAAAGAAAAAAATAGATTGCTGCAACAATTTAGGTAATAAAATATGACATAGCATTTTTAATCGGCTGCAGCAACCAATTTTTGGTTGTAGCAGCAAATTTTTAGTTGCGTTAGCCTATTGAAATCATATATTGACATTGCGAATAGGCTAACGCAACTAAAAATTTGCTGCTGCAACTAAAAACTAACTGCTGCAGCCGATTAAAAATGCTATACCATATTTTACTATCTAAATTGTTGCAGCAATCTATTTTTTCTTTCAGTGTATCCAAAAATATTTAATCATTATATGTCTGAAAAATACATATAATAACATAATATGAATTTTATTTAATTTTACAAAAGGGAATGTTACTTAACGTTAAATATGTAGATATCATATGTATATATTTATAAATTTCTACAAAAGTGAAGCTTATGCAATAGAGTGAGCCCATTAAATTTACAAAATTTAAAACACGAAGTCCGATTAATAGAAACGTGTCCAAATATTCGATTGCATTCACTCGACGACAGACGATCGACATTCCAG